CTGCTTCTATACAAGCTATTTCCATTGTTTCCTACACAAGGACAATGGCATGTTGCAACATTCCTTGCCTCCACATCCCTTTCATATTTCACTTTAAAGCCTCACATGCTAAAACAAGTGAGACTGTGGAACCTTTAATATGAAAGCCACACAAAACATAGGATTTATTTTGGTCCAGAACTGGTAATCCAAAATTAAGCACCTAGTGTAAGAGAGCTCTACAGGTACACTGTCACCCAGCAGAGTCAGTGGTGGACTAAAGTGTCTCCCTGGACAAACAGCTTAGGGCCCACACTCAGCTAGGATGATTTTCCTTCTACTTCTGAGATAAAACAACAAACAGAATAAGCTTGTAATTTCGGGGGAAAAAGGGGGCGAAATATATATTGGTCACTGTTACCATACATTAAAAAAATCAGAAAAGTTATAGTTGTATGACCACTAAAACTAGATTTGAACTGTCCTGAAATGGAAGATGTACAAAATTTCTTTTATCCTACAAAAAAGAACCAGTAGAAAAAAAGACGAGATAAAGAAAATACAGTATTTTGAAAATGTGTTTTAAAGTTACTGGAACTGATAAAATAGTTGCATTATTCTGATAACTATTTTTTCCAGTGTAAGTTACATAAATAATAGAATCATTATCTTATAATGCCCTGTTATCTAACAATTATTCCAAACCATTTATCTGACATACAGCAATATCAGCTTACACATCATGTTGTTAGCTGATGGTTCTACTTTTAAACATTATTTCTATATTTATTACAAGTTACACTTCTACCTTAAAAGTAGTACCATCCACGACTAAATTTAAAAAAGAAATACGCACACACAAAAACAGAATAAAAAAAATCATTGATGTTCCAAAACCTGGAGGAATCTTTCAACATCATAACTTGTTTCACAATGCCTCCTCTAAAAACTAACATTAGGTCTGTCAGAAAAGGAAGTAGACAGTACTCAGCCTCTATCTTTTTCCTTCTTTCTCATTATTTCAGATTTCTTCCTCCTCTACTTTATCCCTGAATGCCTCCTTGGCATGACCTGATGAAGAAACTATGTAAAAGCAATGAGAAATGCATTAATTTGCTCTGTAAAGATAAATTACAAAGATAGAGGGGTATACATACCCGAAGGCTTAAAAGAAAGCCCAACAAAAAGCCAAAGCAAAACCACCATTATTCCTTAAAACTTGCCTGCACCACCTGACATCAAATACATCCACGCAGATTAACACAAACTTGTCATTTGAAGTATCTTCCCTTTACTGCTATCTATGAAACCCCCCAAAATGATGAAAATTGAATTATATACATACCAGCTGCCTAATTTAAGACTATTCATGAATGGCTGCTATTAATTTTTTCAAAAAACACTAAAGCAGAAACTCATTTCAAAGAAACATGCATTTGCAGCATTTGTATGAAGAGAGAAAAAGAGCAGGTCAGACACTTCAGACTGATCAGGCCTTGCTAATAACCTTCATGAGAAAATGCTCCATGGTAAAACTACATTACTGACACAAATTCAGAATCCAAAATCAGAGCTGAAGAAATAACAGGTTCTTTGTCCTAAAATGTGAAAAAGAAAAGTACTACATACAGTAAAGCTGAAGTCTTAAGAGTATCAAGTCATCCAGGTGAAAGAATTAACTTTCCTCAAAAAGAAACAGAAACTTGCCAAGAGTTCCACACAGCCCCTAAAAAGGGGGGGAAATCTGTGCAGCTGAAAGCATTCCCTATACTGTAGATGAGAAGAGTGCACAACTCATACACCAAAAATAAAAGTATTTTTACTTTCCTGGAGGGCTCCTGGAAGACCATCCCATCTCCATCTGGGTGCTGCTACCTGCTCCCTCAGGACATTTGGAGCAGTAACCTCATGTAGCCCCCAGGGAAACACTAAGAACATGGTGGTTTAATTACTACTCATTAGATAAGGAAACCAGGTGAGTGTCACATCGTAAGCACGCAGTAGGAAAACATATCAAACATATCCATGGTCTCCTTCAGGCTCAGCATCCAAACAAATCAATTCAGCACAGCAGCTGCAGTGCGTTACCTGATCCCAGCCCACGGGCACGCTCACATCCCCAGTTACCTGGGTTACCTTATCAACAAGGAACAGGACTTTGGCCCGGGGCAGCATTAACTACCTGGAAATTCAGGACACAGAGACTCTGCCTGATTGTGTCTGCTCAGGAAATATCCCATAGCATGCCAAAACACAAGTATCTTAATGTCATCACCTCAATTCTGCAACTGCAGTTCTTCTAAGGAGAAGGTAAGTGGAAAGAGAAGGATGAATCTTTGAAAAATGTCTCAGGTTTGTATTAATTTACTTTTCAAGGCTGCCAAACATCTCAGAGGTTCCTCAACAAAAAGGTTCAACTTTCTTGCTAATGTATTCTAAAAGGTTCTTAAACTCATAACAAACACCTATCCTAAGAGAATGCTGCAGGATTTCTAAAATGCTGAGCCTCCATAACAGCCAAACCATCCATTATACCCCAGCTTTCTTCTCATCAGTAAGATGTGACAGCATGACGAACTTGCCAAATGAGCAGGAAAACCTACAAACACTAAACTGTCTTGTAAAAACAAAGACCAGCCAAAGGAGGAGACAAGTAATGGGCTTCTCTCTCCTTCCTCCTGTATTCCCATTTTATCAGGCTCTGTAAATGCACAGAGCACCTCCTCTCCCCTCCCCTCTGGCTATGCAAGCGCTGTCTAGCAGCCTCTGCTAGCGTGGAAAACAAGAAACAAGCCATGGACTCTTTCAGATCTTCCACACAGCATTCCCACACGGAGAACTCAAGCTTCACAAGAAGCCCAACCACTAGGAGCAAGGATTAAAACCAGCAATAAATAAATAGGCAAGAATTCATTCCCTTTCTGTGTTTTTCAAGAACATGAATATTCTCATGTCTGTATGGCATAAATACACATTGCAATTCTTCTACAGAGCAGATCAGGCCAGTTTAACAGTACAGACTCTCAATATTATAATTATTTCTCTTTTAAAAATTTTATATATTCATTTTCAAAGAGCCTTGAAAGGAACTGGCAGCTAATAGGATAGACAGCACTGTTTCATAACAGCTTGCAAAAAAATTCAGTCTATTTTTAGATGGGTGAAAAGAATGTGGTTATTAAAAAAAAAAAACCAAAAACCCTAATATGAAATAAAGATGTTTTCATTTATAACTGACCACGCAGCTGATATGTTAAACCAATCTCCAGGTGAACAGTACCATATATTTAAATCCTCAAAACAAATTTGTGTGCATATACAACAGCCACATTTTAATCTTTATTGCGTGATAACACATCATGCTGTTTAAAAAATCTTACTTTTTAATGAATCTCATTCAAATGAATCTCAGACAAATGCATCTGTTTCTAATTGTGTTAAGATCTTTTAAAAGGACCTCTTCATCTAGGACTACCATTAGTACAACCATGAGCATGTTCTGCTCAAAACCAGACTGATCAGATGTTGGGTGCTGCATAACACTCATATTGATAAAATAATAAGTATCCGTATTATACACCAAATTCCCACACAGCAATGCCAACGTAAGTCTTTCCAAAAATCAAGTTAACACCTGTTTCCTTTACTATTTTCACTCCATCATCTTCCCTGTTACCACCACCATTTTAAATCTTATATTTAAAAATTTTAGGCATAAGAGTGGGATAAAGGTTAAAAAATAAACACTTGCATTTTCTCTTCTCATTCTTAATTTTGTACAAGTAAATACTAAAATCTCTCTCAAAGCTCTTCTTATATATCTCCATTTTGGAAAGGTGACTTAACATCCCATTCCCCCCCACCATTTTCTGAATCTCTTATTGCTGGCATTTAGTTATAACCACAGCTGGTGAAAGGCAATGCAGTTTGCTTCTACATATCATACCTAAATATACTTATAAATCAAAATAAATTGCTCATTTTGGTTTTTCAAACCACCCATGCCACACAGCACTTGCATATTTTGAAAGATATCTTTTAGCCTGTTTCCTTAAGATAGCATTCATTGCCTTATCATGTCTCTGTGTGCTGAGCCATTCAATAAAATAAACTTCAACTCATCATTTCAGCCGAACACAGTTTGAGAGCTTAAAATTAACAGTATTTTTTTGCCAACATCCAATATTAAAATGGTGAAATAGAACACTGAGAGGGTCTTTTGCATACAGCCAAAATGTTTATTGTAAATAATGGAGGGGAAATGGCATTATGTTTCTCTAAACTGAAGCCGTTTCAAAACCAAAAATGCCCTAAAATGCAGCTGCAAGCAAACAGAAGTGAGCAGGGCTGGTTTATTTAAATCAACAAAATAATCACCAGGAGGCTATTCCACGTCAGAAGACTTAAATGTACATTTAGTACCTTGAAGTATTTCCCTAAAAATGAAACAGCTACTTGAAATAGCACTAATCTGATTGACAGATAAAATAATTGCTTTAAAAACACTTCTGAGTCATTTTGTCCTTACCTGCAGGCATGAACCATTACTGCATGCAGCGACTGCTCCATTTCCTAGCACAGACTTGAACGGGGATCACATCTATCTTACAGAATGTGACTAATAGGGGGGATTTGCGATTCCTGAGCTACTTTCCAAAGGACACTCCCTTTTCCACATACCCGGGCACGAAGCGCTCGGCCAAGTTCTATTTGCTACCGATGCTTATGGGCAGGAGCAGCGCGGGGTCTGTGCGGGGTCTGCGCGGCGCCGCTCGCCCGCCTGACAGGCGCGGGGTCTGCACCAGCCAGCCCCGCCGCGATCCGCATGCTGCAGCCCGCCGGGCTCCGGGCACGGCCGGCCGCCCGCAACCGCGGCCACAAGGCACAAAGCTGGGCCGGGAGGGCAGGCGGGGTGGGCACGGTGCGAGATCCAGCATGCAGCACACGCGGACAATGCCAGCAGCCCCGCGGAGGCAGAGGGAGAAGCCCCGCGTTCATGCGGAGGGGGATGCCGGCCGTACCTTTCTGGAGAGGACGACTTCTCAGAGTTAACTGACATCAGCAGCTCAGTCTTCTGCTTGATTTCTGGAAAAATCAGAAAACGTTCACCACCGACGCCGCCTGCCCTCGCCTTCCGGAGGTCTCGCTTCCCTGCGCCCTTTTGTCCGCCGGAGGCCCGGGACGCGGCGCTGTGCGAGGCCGCCCAGCCGCGCTCGGAGGGCCGGGCCCGCGCACATGACCGCGCACGGCGGGCGGAACCATCGCCGAGCGGGGGGCGCCGCTCCGCGCCCGAGCCCGCGGGGGCAGCGCGGGGGCCGCGCCACCGCTGCCGCCGGCGGGGGGGACGCGGGGGGTACCCGCCGAGGGGAAAAACCCCGAAACAAAAGATTCCCGGCACGGATCGTCCTCCCGGGTACCGTGCTAGGAGGTACTGCACACCCGCCAAAGCCTCCAGATCTAAAGCCCTGAAAAATATGGCTCTTTGAATCATTTTTGTCACAAAAAGCGAGGTATCAAATCACTACTTTCACACACGGGTGAGAAACCAGACATGGAAAACGCTAGGCACACCTGGATTTTTGTTTTTAGTGCTCTGCCTCCAATGCCCCCAAATACACTTTGAAAAGTCATATTTTCTTTTTTCTTTTTTTTTTTTTAACACCTAGTGATTCCCCCAGAGGGTGGCTGGGCTCTAAACAGGCTCCCCAGGGCAGCGGTCACAGCTCCAGCCTGACAGAGCTCAAGAAGCGTTTGGACAATGCTCTCAGGCACATGGGGTGACTCTGGGGAATGGGGCCATGCATGGCCAGGAGCTGGGCTTGACAATCCAGGGGGGTTCCTTCCCCCTGAGCACATTCTGTGATGCTGTGATCACCAGGGCAGCACCTGGAAGGCCTGGGCTGGTCCCTCGTTCCCAAATACTGGCAGCACACCCTGGCACAGACACCCGGCGTGCTGTCACCAAGGGGAGATGCACCCTGCCACCGCTTCACAAGATCCAGAGAAGCAGAACAGAGACTGCTGAAAAGTGAATTCACCAGGTGCTCTGGAGGCGAGCACCCAAAAAACCTGAAAGAACAAAGGGATGTGAGCCTCATTTTAAGACCGTATCCTCGCTGGAGACCGTAGTGCCACCTGTGGTAATACTGCTAAGACCTGAGCAACACTATGTCCACTTGTGAAACAGCCACAGTAAACCTGAACTGTTTGGGATTAACCATTCCACAGTGGAAGACCTTCAATCTTTTCTTCCTCTCTTCATACATATCTCAGGTACAAAGCCACTGAAATTTCTGAAAACAGAAGAAGAAAAGCTGTGTAACTTGATTGATTGTTTTTTCAACCACAGTTACAGAAGTATTATTACTATCCGAACGATAACTCTCATGCTCTGGTGGAAGACTTGCAAGCTAGAAAGTGATCATCACCTTTTTAAGCATATGCCACTTGTTCTTCCCAAAACATACTAATCAGAAGAACATCCAACAAGTATCACAGTTCTCACATCCAACGCAGACACTTCTGGGATCTTTGAAAGTATATCTGTGAAATGTCATTATGTTCACAGCTGGCTCCACTACATGACTGCAAGTACCATAAAAAACTTCTTTTACTGTTGTCCATCCCAGGCAGCAAGTGGTCCTACAGTCACAGCTACTGGGATACTTCTCTGCACACCCAGACACACATTCCAATGTAGGGAAGAACTGAAGTTAATTTCTCTATCACAGAGCCTTGACACCAACTGACTATAAATATAGTCCTCAACTTCAAAGTCCAATAAATTTTTAATTCCTTCTGAAGATGCTTATAAATTAAAATTGATTACATAAACAGATATTAAAAAGGCAGGATTTTATAGCAAAACAAAATCCCCAGAGTTTGGAAGGAAGTGATCAAATTATTTATTCCATAACTAAGCCTCCACATAGGCTTTGCAATGGATGTCCAGAGATTATAATACTACGACTTTATTGCTAACAGTACACCACAAGATGCTAAAAATAAATCCAAGATATAAGTTATTTCACCATGAACTTTGAGTCCCTGGATTCTCTACAAGATGTACAGACATTTCTCCATGATGGTATTAAAGCACATAATTTAATTTTACTTCTAGTAACCAAGTGACAACAAAGACTTATTTAATATAGCTGCAAGAAGAATTTCAATAAAATGAGACCCCATAGGAAAAAAATTCCAATGTCTTAATGAGCATTCTACTCCACAATTAGAGAACACTCATCACAAGGTTTTAGGGTTTTTCTTTCCTGTTTCTCTTCTGTCAATTTGAAATATTTTCTTATTTTGGATTTACCAATCTTCTGTCTCTGCTACCTGAGATTTTTACACGTAAGGATCCCTTTTGTTCATTTTTAAAAGCAAATCTGTACCTTTACACATCCATATGGCACCAGCAAACTCAAGCTGATACCATCACTATCACTCCTCATACAAAACTGATTGTGGGAATATCACCAAAATAAGACACATGAGTTTTACACTAAGTGCCTTTAGACCATAAGAGAATAATGGCTGCAGAAACAGCAATGCTCTCATTTGTTTATTTTGGTTATTTATAAATTACATATCCAGAATTCTGGGATAATTTACAGAATTGATTAGAAATTATTTAGAATATTAGAATTTATTTCGAAATTACATCCCAAGTCCAAATAACACAACAGAAAAATCCCTCCAAACTGCAGCTGCCACAGCACCACTCTATTGGCCTTTGCATCCAGAAGAATGCAAATTACAGCAGTATTTGTTAAACTTAAAGTAACAGAAAAAGAGGGGAAGAAGGAAAGTTTTACAATTGAACAGCTCTTCCTGGAGGTTTCTTGGTTCAAGACCCCCCAACCTACCACAGAACTAACATTTCCACTTCACCTCAAGTACAGTGCCACAAAGGCAAAGGCTGGGCTGCTCAGGACCTGCACCTCTTACAGATTCAAGGAACCACACCTTTAAAAGGTTTCATGAGTAGATTCAATAACTGTACTGATCAGCACCCAGAGGTACAGGGAACTTCTGCTGAGTGAGCAAGCATTTACAGCCTGACTGAGGAGTTTTGGGTTGTCCTAATTTCTGAGGCCACAAAAAAGATAGCACTCTATATAGAACCACATCCAGAACAGATCATAGCACTGACTGAATAAAAGCTGAAGATGAATGAAAATTAGAGCTTGCAGATCTCAAAGCAGCAGCTAATTCAGTAAAATTTTTCAGCTATAAAATACCAATAAATTCAGGTATGGGGTATGGTTGTCACCAACTCCTCAGTCATTGCATGCACTTACCAGCCCACTTTGAGTCATTTTGCACTGTGTACAGATCAAGTGGCAGACAACTGGCTCTCAGCCAATGCCTGAGAGAAGCAGATACACTAAGTCTCTAAAGCCATACTATTCAAGCTGTGATTGAATGAAAACAAAAACCAGAAAGGCTCTACACTGCCCAAAATGGCTTCCTAATCATCATGACTGTTGTTCTTTCAAACCAAAGCAGAGCCGAAACTAACCATAATTTTCTTTTTCTTAGCCTAGATGTTTGCCTCCTCTGATACGTTCAAGTGGAAACTGTGTGTTAAGACTAGAGAAAAAGGCATCAGATGAAGTTAAAGCAAGAAGGCATTTGCTAAGCCAAAAAATAAAAAGACAAGAGTCTTGGAAAAAAGGAGAGGAGAGTCCTAGAAAGAGATGCTGGCAGTTTCTGAACTCACAGGGGATTTGTCAGAGAGCATCATATCAAAAGCTCCCAGCAACCTGAAGTTTCCATACCAAATTTAGAACAAACCACCTCAGAAATTATAAGGGAAGAAACTCTCCACACAAGATGAAGAGAAATTCTGTTATTTCAGCAGTGTGAAAGAAGAACAAAAAAAAATTATGTGGGAACTAGGGATATCTACATAATCTGGAAAAAAGAAGAGAGGAGAAGAATTAGCCTGGGGTTTTGTTTATATGTTCTGTCAATTAAAAAGAAATACATAAGAACTCTCCACAATAAAAGAAAATAAAGAATCCTAGCTGCTGTTTAAGCACAGATGGAGAAGTGTGGACAAGGTATATGGCACTGCACAAACTGTTCCCTGTGACATATGGGTAGATATCAGAGTCACCACGATCTCAAAGTCAACTGACAGAAGTCACTGTTTCACTAAAAATTTAATCATGTCTACCGCAAACAGATTATCTCGATGGTCTACAACATGTTCATCAGTCAAGATTAAAATATCTTACTGACAGTGCATGTATTAAATTTATCCAGGGCAGAGATCCACTGTTGCAGAACTCAACTAATACAGCTTCTTCCTCCCACCACCCCTGTGCCTTTTGGGAGCAAAGAAGAGACAAAGTAGCACCTAAACATAAATACCTTCAATTTTTTGCAATGTAAACTATGCCATACAAGTTGCCATATACCCTTTTTAAAATAAATATTATACTAAACAGATGCAAGTTAAATGTACTTAATTTTTAATTAATAGGTAGGCTCGTCCACACATTTTGTTAGTCAAATCAGATCATAAACTAGCAGGTTTAGTGCTTTTCTTCCATTTTCTGTGTAGTGTATGTTAGGACAGGAGCTTGAGGTGCTTTTAACGCTTCTTCTACACTATCTTTAAACATGTACTTTCTTATCAATATCCATCCTAGTCTATTCTCCACTGAATTTTCCATCCTTGCATCACAGTTACAGCTGCTTGGATCTTACAATTTTCCTATAAAACCTTCAACCTACTGCAAGTTGACTACTTCCAGTATTACTCTTAAAAGAAATAGTCCTGCTTCCCAAATGAATCTATGAAGACAGATCTGAAACTATTAAACAAATCAAATTAATCAAACTGTCTATTCTAAGTAATTTTTTCAGCCTTGAAGTCATGAAGTGCACTAGGAACCTTGGTATCAGTAATGTGATTTTATGTGGACAGATCTATGTTTGAGCTTTGGATAACTGTGCAAGTGACATGCTAAACAGCACAAAAGGCAATAAATTTAAATTCTTCCAATGAGGCACTGGACCCTAGACAAAATGAGACAGCTTTGCACACAACTTGAGAAATTCAATGCTTTATATGTTTTAGATCACGTACTTTTAAAATAAATAGTTCCAAAAGACTGCTAGGATCACAGGCTGTGTGATGAAAATGGGATTCAAAATGGCACAAACACAGAGCAAGCCTAAATTTGATAAGCATATGAATACTAAATGAGGTAGTATTGAAGCATAAA